TAGAGTGGGTCTCCTCATGGAGGCAGCCATTTTGAGATCACATGACCAGTCAATAGTTTCTTGCTTTATCCTGGTAACCTGACCTGTTACTGAAAAAATTTGCTTGTAGAATAAATTGACTTGGACTACAATGTTATCAAAGATTTTACCTGAAAAGGTTTGTTTTGTGTGATGCCGCATCTACACCACTAGATGGCAATATAAAGTTCTGGGAATGCAATATAAAAAGTAATTACTGAGTGCATCTTTAAGAATTACACCGTGTAGTAATTCCCAATAAATATACCAGCCATCTGGCCAGATTGTATTTACCCGCCAAACCCAATTTTAACTCTCAGGAGATGCTTGATGAATGTTAATTCTGTCTCCTGGTTACACGTTATAAAAATATAAAACTGCGGAGCATATAAATGCTTGAGAAATTCTCAAGTTTGTGATCTTTCGCATGAAGTAAGCTATTGACTGGAAACCCTTTATTATTGTTAAGAGAGGATAATTAATGGGTCCAAAAATGGGATTGTTTGGACAGAAAATTTTGATTGTTTTTTTCCACAGAAAAGCAAACAGAAAAGCAGCATATTGCCTGTAAATAATAAATGAGTTTGTACACTGTAGTTCAAGATTGGCATCAGCCTAAATTAAATGACAGTGAAAGTTTTAAGACAGCTGCCTGGCTTTCTGCCACAGAAACAGAGACATGATCTGCCATCGGCTTCAGAATCTATATGTTAAGTAGTCTATTGATGAAGCACTTTACATGGGATCTAATGATAATACCACTTTCAGGATTGCTGGGCTTTGGGTTAAAAATCAAGAGGTCAGGGGTAGCGTTTTCTTTTGCTGCTATCTACTAATTACATGATCAGACATTTATTCCTGTGGGACTCGTCTTGTAGATCTCTTAATTGTCGGTTTAAATGAGCTCAATCTTGATAGTGTTTGGTTGGAGTTTTCAGGTTATTTTTGTGGTGTCATGCTTTTAGTCACTCAGTCTCATAGATTCTTTACATTAGAGGATCTACATGCAATGTAAAGTTTGTGAGTGGTCCCTTGTTGGTTTGTTGGCTCACGGTAATGTGGTCTCATGTAGCCTTTGACTAAATGTTAAGTCAATGTAGACCCAAACCTTATTTGGTCTACATTGCAGCTTATTCTGGCCAAGAACAGCTCATTTAAAGACGAGATGCTGTGACCAGCATGTAACATGACCAACCACATTTCTTATTGTTTTTATTTGCCATTTAGCAGCAGGATTATTTTTCATTTTATTTGTTGGCTAATAAGTACAGAATATTTCTGAGACATAAAAAGCAGAATATACAGTTTGGATTGTTGATAGCTAACTTACTAATTAGTTGCCAGTAACCTGACAACTTTGTACATCCAGTCATTATTTGAGACTCACTTTATCAACCCAGTACACATGACTTTTCCAGATAATCTAATAAAAATTCATCTGTGCCATTCATCCTTATAGTTGTGTAAATTTAGGCAGTCAGATTAGAGCTATAGAATTGGGAAGGTGCTTTCTGGTTTTGTGTACATGTGATGGTCTAAGGTCTTTTTGGTAAAACATTACTCTTGAACTTCAGCTTAAACTTTGAAAATCCCTGCCAGGAGTGCACATTTGATTTTCCGTGAATTGTTTGACTGAGAGCAGTCCCATATTTGGCAGTGTGTAGATAAAACAGGCTCACAGGAAGTCAAATCTAATTCCGGGAAAAACCTTTCATCTCAGCTGGTCATAATAGACTCCAGGATTGCAGGACTAGCCACCATTCCAAATGCATTGAGCAGACAGAAGTGGGATATTTCCTGTTTTTTGGAATGAAAATGTCAATCCTGGCTCTTAGGTAGAGACAGCCTTTGCTGGATCAAGCCTCAACTCCACATAGATATGGGATTTGCCTGAATGAAGTGAATGGGAATAGGCAAGAGACTGCACTTTTGACTTTGGCGAGGTGTAGATCAAGAGTCAAATCAAAATGAGGCGTTTCCTTCCCTTAACTTTCGTTACTACTTTCCCAAACACCCACATCTTTCCTACCGAGTCCGTAAATATGTAGACTTTACTTTGCAGCGCTTTGAGAGCGATCAAATGAGAATACAGACATTAGTTCGGTCTTCTGGGATTTTTGCGCAGGCTACGATCCAAGAGGTTTTATGAAGCTGCAGAGTCAGTAAACAAATATATTTCATTCACTAGGCACACACAGATGTCAGGAAGCTGGAAGAGAGCTGTAGATACATGTAAGAGCAGCTGGGCAGGTGGGGGTGTATCTATTCGCGATAGATTCACAAGGTTGCTGCACTGCAATCATGCCAGAATGCATTACTTTGACCAAGTCGGTCTTGAAGTTACACTGTTACTAAAGTCTAGAAGCTTGATCTGTGGCATTGTAAAGCTATGCCAATTTGGGAGAAATAAACACTACTGGGATCATTGAAGTGTAAACCCATACAAAAGGTTGACATAAAAGAGAGCTGACACATTATGACTCAAACATGAGCATAGCACACCTAAATCAGTCAGTGAGATGAAAATCTGGGTCAGGGAAACTCAAAGGCCTCAGGATCCAGTGCTTTACTGTTCCATCTGCTTTCTATGGATGCTGCAAAGACAGAAATACAACTCAGCTGCTTACCCAACACTTCCATTTCACTAGCCATCTAGAAGAATGTGTCACCATCTTGAATATATCGCGCAAGCCCACTCTCTGCTCCAGGCAATCACTTGAACTGTTCCCTTCTAATTTTTGGTATTAAATAGTGACAAATAGTTACCTGCATTTTGCAGTAGCATGAGAATAGTGCTTTTATAATGGTATAGACTTTTATTTTAAAGCTACTTTTCTAAAATAGTGCAACAAAATAAAGCTTTTTTTCAGTGAAATTCCAGTGAATTGGTTCACTCAGATGGCACATGTAAATGAGATAATATAATTGAAAAAATATATATATATATTACAATAAAATGTTTCTTGGCATACTTCCTAAGTACTAATACATGCCTAACAACATGGTCTGCCTCTGCACAGCATGCCATGCTAGCGTGCCAATATAATTTCAGAAATGCCATCATGCCATTAAGTGAGAGTTAGCCACGGGGGCCAATATTAACTCTTTGCCATAACTGCCAAATGGTGGGTGAATTAAGAATATTTACCAGCCATAAATACATTTTACATTCAATGAAGCGGTATATTGCATGAATTTTGCTGAAAAAAGTAGTTTTCATCTAAATGACAATGAAATATTAGAACTGTTTAATAACCTCTAGTACATTTCCTTTCATTAGGAGTGATGCCTTAAAAATGCTGTTTATGGAGAAAACTCTAATAGATTTAGAAACTTAGCCTAAATCTTGTATCTTCCAGATAGCGGTCCACATCTGCTAGGTACGTACAAGAATCATTTAGAGTCATTTGAGTTTGGTAGCCAGAGAGAAATGAGGCTATCCCATATCAATCTTTTTCCAGCCGTATTGAAAAGAGCTTTAAACCCACTGTGCTAAGCAAAGGATGTGTATACACGTTTTCCGATCAAGGCCTGTCGACCCACGGAGATCTTTAATTGATTGATTGGCTTGCAAATTTCCAGGGCAAGAGACTCGGGGAGACCACTCGATCAATTCCTCTACTAGAGTCACGTTACGTGATTGGCAAGCTTGCCTCCTGGGAGAATTCTTTGTTTGAAATATTAATGTAAATGAAAATTAAATTTATATTTACTAAAATTGTATGTTTAATATTGTAAAAATTACATTTTTATTTGTTAAAAAAACATTTTTTTATACAGAATTTTTTATATAAGTGACCCTGGACCACAAAACCAGTCTTATGTCGCTGGGGTATATTTGTAGCAATAGCCAAAAATTCATTGTATGGGTCACAATTATTGATTTTTCTTTTATGCCAAAAATCATAAGGACATTAAGTAAAGATCAAGTTCCATAAAGATATTTTGTTAATTTCCTACTGTAAATATATCAAAACATAATTTTTTATTAGTAATATGCATTGCTAAGAACTTCATTTGGACAGCTTTAAAGGCGATTTTCTCAATATTTTGATTATTTTGCATCCTCAGATTCCAGATTTTCAAATAGTTGTATCTCTGCCAAATATTGTCCTATCCTAACAAACTATACATCAATGGAAAGCTTTGAAATATTTATTCAGCTTTCAGGTGGTGTATAAATCTCAATTTCATAAAACTGACCCTTATGACTGGTTTTGTGGTCCAGAGTCACATATATGTAAATTATACTTAAATATACATTTATATTTAAAAATGTTTTTATATGCATATAAATGAGCTCATGTAATTAAAAAAAATAAACTAAACATTTTATTAAAATATAAGTTAAATTATTTTAAGTAATTTATTAAAAATATTACATTATTTTCTAATTTAGATGTGTAAATATTTCAAATATATTCAATATTTCAAATATATTCAAAGTGCAGTTTGTCCTGTGTGCTTTATTTGGAGCATTTTGCTTCATTTTGCTTCATTTTGCATCCCATAAATTTACTGCAAGCAAGGATTACACCAAGTAGTTTGGCATGAAAAGCAAGAGAATTCTAAATTAAATACATTTAATATTAATTTCTACATCTTATTGTTCAATGCCAGTGATTTCCTCACAAGTGTTTAAGGTTGTAGACACCTACAATACTGTAGGTGTTACACATACGGACTAAATTATTCAAAGCAGAAAGCTGTTTGCGAGTCAATAAGTATGCATAAACCCGCCCTGAGCCTTTTTGCCCCACATCCCTGAGCTTGAAAGCTTGTATGCCCTTCTTTTTGATCTGCTCCTTTCTCACTATTTTAGTGAAGCTGGCTCGGCCAGCCGTTTAATTAATGTGAACATAACATTACTCTCTATATCCGTCTTTCTCTGCGTGCTTCTCTCCGACTTTGAGTGGTACGTTATCTTGCACTTTCCCAGAGCAAACCTCGTTGTTAATTAAAAGCTGCCAAGTCCTTCTTACGGTGCAGCCATTTGAAATGAAGCCTTTCTGGGAACTAGAGCCGCACACTTTTCCCCCTGAAGAGGACGAATAGATCCTCTGCACATCCATCTCTATCAGAGCCGTGTGTGTTTAGTCGCTGTAATGTAAAATAACAGCTTTAAAATGGCGGCAGGGCAAAATGCCCCATAGATTATCTTTTGGCTCATTTCTGAGTGAATGGCAGCAGGGAAAACGGTGTCCGATAGCAATTAAAGCTCACAGCGCACAGAGCTGAATGTCACATGACGTGGTGAAACCACTGATATCAGTTTTCTGGTTGAACTAATTTGGGTTTATAACAAGCTAAGCTGACCCTAAGCAGAAAACAACTCAATAGCAGTGAAAATCATCAATCGATGCACGAGTAAACGAGTAAAATCCAATGCCAGCCGGTCTCTCCACAAAGCCAAGTCTTGGAAGCTAAAGGGAGAAACAAGAAGAAATGCTGTTTGTTTTAAATACGTCATTGCTGGTTGTGGGGTGGGGGTGGGGGGCTTTGGCGGACAGCAGTGGCATACATTAATCAAGTTGTTTCAGTCTCGGGTGTCCCTGCTGACTGCCTGAGAGGAATAGCCTTGCACTGGTTTCCAAACAGGCATAGCAGGAAAACACCAAAGTTGAATATGATTGTCAAGATTTCTGCTTCTGCACAACTGATTACAGGATGTCCTTCAAACCAAACTAATGTCTTTTTTTCTATACAGAAACCAGAACTGTGTCTCATAATTTTGATGACAAATCCTTTAAATTCATAATCTGAACATGCACCTCACGTGTTATTTTGAGCTCAGCAAGCATTAAATTCATAATTCCCATTTTATTTGTGCAAAATTGTCATATGATGGGGTTGGAGGCCTGTAATGATATTGAAAGAACACATCAGCATCCATATGTGCAAAATTCAGCAAATTCACACTTTGAGATGAATCATGTTACTGGCAAGAAAGTCATTAGATTTATGGAGATTTGTTATATTAATCTATTGACAGCCATAGTTGTTACACACGCAGCAATATGCTCATGTTTTCTCACTTGGTCTTGGATTTTCCTAGTGTAGCGATAGCAGACAGAAAAAATTATCCATAAATACAGTGACTTTGTAGGCTGGCACCATGGTGCGTGCCGTCTTTATCCACAATCTGGTATGACTGCTTCCTTCCTGTATGTCACCTCACAGATGGGGCGATTACTACGGTGCTGTCAGTCCATTTGTACACTGTAACTACTTCACGGATTACCATCTCACCGAAGGCAAACACTTCCTGCTTGTCAAACGAACGCACATTTGGCTCTGTGACTAGAACTAGAAATGTGTGCTTTCACTATAGGTAGCAAATACTGCAGGATATTGTGTAATGGTGTTTCCAAATAAGTTTAGACAGGTTTAGAGTTTTTAAATGCACTTTTATGCTTTTCAATCTTGTTTCGTCTTTGATACATTTCGTCTTGTGATGTATTCTACATTGTGGTGGCAAATTCTGCTGATTTGTTACCAAGATAAAGTGTTATCTAGCTGGCTAGCATGAATGAGTTTTTTGTTGAAATCGCAAACATGACTCGTTATATTCTTGAAAGCATCAGTAAGAAAACTACAAATCAATCAGTAATGTTTTGCATTATATGCCATCATTTTCTAGCAAAAGTGGCGTTACATTACAGCTGTATAATTTCCACACTAAAAAAAAAAAAGCTTTCAAGTGCTAGTAAATTTTTACAAAAACAATCTGCAAGTAACATTGAATTAAACATGAAATTTTAAAGTGCAAACATTTTTTACAATGCAAATACAGTAGTGTTTTAGGGTACATATTCTTACTGTATAAACTAATATGCAACTTTTAGGTGTAGATAAGGTACAAAGATATCTCTTTAAGGGTAATGCCCTAGTGATAATCTGCAGAAATTAACCTAAATCAGGGTGTTTCTGAGATCTAACTCAGAAAAGTTCAGCTCCAACCTTAATCAAACACACCTGAAGCAGCTAATTAAATATATCTTTTCCACAGACTCCTGGGCTGTGTCCGAAATCGCCCCCTATACCCTCATTCACTATTCCCTACATTAGGTCACTAATTCAGTTCACTAGAAGGAGTGAATGAAAACGAGTAGTGAATTCGGACACCGAGTACACATGAAGGAATGCCGCTTTTGCATAGTTTGTGCTTGCTGTTGATTAATCATTTGAAACTAGCAAACTAGCAGCTCCAGTAGTAAGATTAAAGGATTTATCTTGAACTCTGTCACGAAAATTATGTATAAACCCTAATCAAACTATTTAATAATCAATTTACAATGAATTTATACCCGTGTTGTACATTATGCTGTACGCCATGGATGAGCGATTTGTAAAAACGAAGATTGATTATTCAGCTGCAGGCGCCATCTTCTGGCGAGATGCGGGAATTCATTCGGCGCTCTCACGGTGCGTTATGGGCATTCTCTAGCCGTTGAGCGTGCACCAGTTG